TTTTTTTTTTTTTTTCTTCTTTTACATGTGTACAGAGTTTGGGACCATTTCTGAAAACGATGGTTGAAACCTGAGTTTTGTTGCACTGGGATGTGCACTGGGATCTGCTTCTGAGTGTTCGTCAGATGACTCTAATTCACTTCTGATTCTTTCCCACAGCCCTTGTGAAAAGATTTTTTGGTTCCACCTTCAAGGAAGATGCTTATTAAATGCAGTTAGTTTTTAAAAGTAGCAGAGCAGTTGGGCAGTCAGACTCCCTTTGGTACTTTTGAGAGTACATTGAGAGGTACATTGAGAGGTGTGTCTTATTTGCTAGCTCAAACTGCCCTTAAGCTTTAAAAGAAGGATAAAAGCTGCAGTGGAGAGAAGATTTAGAATAGAAATGGTCACTGAGCCCTTTCAGAGGGATTATCTCTTTTCTGGTGTACTTGAGAGCATTTTAAAATTATGTTTTTATTAAAGTATACGCATCTGCAGGAGATAAACCCTTTCCTCCCCCGAAAACCAAACAAACCTCTAAAACACTTGATAGTATGAAATAATATGGAAACTAAGAGCAAGAAAGACACAGCATCATCAATACTATGTTGTAATGGTTGTGTTCTTGTTGCTTTCTTCTCAGGAAAGGATTTTAGAGGTGAATGGGAATTTCTTTCAAAAGATAGTAGGAGCAATTTAAGTTGTTAACATGAAAGGTGCCATCCTGAAGTAGTTACGTACAGTGGGTCTAAATGGCATTAACTTTTAAAATGTTTTGAGTTCTTGAAAGAATATTTTCCAGGTAAGATCTTGTGTCATCCTTACAACTTAGGCACACGAACAAGAATGCTCGTTTTGGGGAAGACCTCTCTCAAGCTATAGAAGTGGTTACTGAAGGATGTCTCGCTGTTCCCTGTTCCTTGGAAAAATTGCAGAAGACCTGGGTGGAGTATGACTTGGCTCAAGAGATGATTCAGAAGTGCAAAAATGCGGTAGGTTGGAGATCCTCTTGCATCAAGAGCTATAATTTAACAGCTGTTGACAATATTTTAGTCTTGTAAGTGTAGCTGGTTTTGAGCAGAAGGAAAACCTGTCCTTGGTTAGGTAATATTGCAGACTTGACTACAATAGCTAGCAATTGGAATAGTGATGGTGTGTTATTTTCAGGTAACTTTAGGCTATTTTGATTTGATTTATATGTGAGATAGACATAAAAATGTGGTAGGTAAGGAGTTTCTGTGCTGTAATAGGCAGCAGTTCAGATGCTGCAGTTGCACAGCTATTTAAAATCCTTTCCAAAGCAGCGTGCTGATGCTTGGTATATGCTCCCTGCCTGTGGGGAGGGCAGTATGTGGTTTGGGAGTCCTGTGGGAGAATGGGCTTGTATAGGGGAAAGCTGCCATCTAGTGCAACTTGTGTGCAACAGCCCATCTGAAAAAGCCTGCCTGAGTACTGCGGAAAATGATGGTTAAGGAGGGCACCGCCGAGTGCAACTGTACCCCTGCCAAGACAGTTCCTGCTCTTTGAGGGCAGGCGGATTTCCTGGTTGGACAGGCCAGGTGGTGGTTGTGATCGGGGGAAAATAGCACAAATGTGTTACTTGAATTTTCATAAATGTGTTTTGCTTAAGGAGTGTTGCGATTTTACATGAATTTAGTAGTCTGGAATGAAGTAGAAAATGAGCAATAATGAGAAGCGTGGAGAGAAAAGTAATGGAAGCATCTCTCATGTTGCATATATTTGGTTGTTGTAGGTGACTAAGGAATCTTTTATCTGCTAAAACAGAAGTCAAATGTTTAAACTTGCCATCACTATTAACAAACATATGGTGTCCTGGTGATACCTTGTGTAGGGATGTAATGTRTTGGAGGAGAATGTCTGGGTTGTGGAGCATCCAAGAGCCCAGTCCCTGCTGCAGCAGGGATGAAGAGGCAGAGCCTCTTTGCACGGCCTGGGTTAGACTTARGGATTTATTTTCTTGGATTAATTCCTGGTCCCACATGAAATAGCAGTTGTTGGAATCTTTCAGAGGTAATTAAGCAGATCTGTATGCCTTGGTGAGCCACAGTGGACAAGTAAAGCAGAGATCTACTACCAGGAGTAACTCTTGGGCTTCCGTCACCTTAAAATGCATTTTAGAATCATAGAATCATAGAATGCCGAAGGTTGGAAGGGACCTCAGAGGTCATCGAGTCCAACCCCCCTGCTCACGCAGGGTCACCTAGAGCACGGGGCACAGGGCTGCATCCAAGCGGGTTTTAAAGATCTCCAAAGAAGGAGACTCCACAACCTCTCTGGGCAGCCTGTTCCAGTGCTTTGTCACCCTCACAGTGAAGAAATGCTTCCTTAAGTTCCTGTGGAACTTCCGATGCTTCAGTTTGAAGCCATTTCCTCTAGTCCTATCACTGTCCACCACTGAAAAGAGGCTGGCCCCTCCTCCTCACTGCCTCCCTTGAGGTATTTATACACGCTGATCAGGTCCCCCCTCAGCCTCCTCTTCTCCAGGCTGAACAGGCCCAGCTCCCTCAGCCTTTGCTCATAGGGCAGATGTTCCAGGCCCCTGATCATCCTGGTAGCCCTGCGCTGGACTCTCTCCAGCAGCTCCACATCCCTCTTGTACTGGRGAGCYCAGMACTGGACRCAGTACTCCAGATGTGGCCTCACCAGGGCTGAGTAGAGGGGGATGATTTTCACGCTTATTCCAGTTTTGCTCTGACTCAGGTAGGCTGGAGTTTAGAGGGAAGAAGGATCTTAATCTGCACAAGCGTTAGGACGGATGCAGTGATGGGACTGGGGAGCCCGAGTTTATTCACTGGGGGAGATGATCCCTCTTGTGTCACTTGGGTGTTACTCTTTTTGCCAGCGTTTCCTTTGAGAGCAGTAGGAAGGAGCGGAGGGTGCCAGACCCAGCAAGCAGCTGAGAGCCAGACTGTGAGAAGAGATTTCATCCTTGGAGTGTGAAGATTTTCTGACCAATTTGGGGAATACATCACATGTAATGTTGTAGTGAGTGAGTGGGCAGGTCAATGTCTCTCCTGCAACAAAGTAAGGAAGAAGTTGGTAAAAGTTGGTAAAAGGTTCCTTCTCCAGCAAGGAAGCTTTTGCAGTCTGACTTTGTACATGCAATCTGCCGTGCATGTAATCCAAATTCTAAATTTAGTAATATGAATTATAACTGCAGGACAACTGAGACATTTAAGCTTTTAATAGTAGCAGTTAAGAATCCACTATTCAAGAACTCAGTCATTGAAAAACTGCTTCTGTAGCCCTAGAGACCCAGTGAAGAGGTCAGTTGCTGTGCAGGGTCACTGTCACAGGAGCAGAAGGGAAACACAAACTTATTTTCCCTCGTTCCTGGTCAGGTCTGTGTTGCGCTTTTTCAACTTTGCTGGAGTCACACTCCTTCCCTCCCTTCTTCCCTCCCACTTCATTTCCTACTTCCTTCCTCCCTGTGTGTGTGTGGAGTTTGGATGTGACCTGCTGACTCCTTCTTCCTTCTACTCAGGATGAAAGAGATGAAATGATTATGAAGAGAAATGAGGTGCAGGCCAATCTATATTCTGCAGTGGAAGAATTAATTTTGGAAGTGGATCAGCTGCCCCTCTCCGAGCGCTCCAAAACACTGCAGGTAGGGAATGTGCTTCTATGGTTATTGATTCTTAAGCACTGAGAATCTGTGGGCTGTATTTCTTAAATATGTGTGACTGTTGAATACCTCTACAGCAGTGGATGAAAGTTGGTATTTGTAAGCTGACTATTGTGCTTGGGATTCGGATCAATCTGTTTTACATACAAATCTTGATCTTGGTTGGGTGGATGGTATCTCCTTGTCGTGATGTGCTACTATCCAAGCCAACCTAAGCAGCAGCTCAGTTTCTACCTGCTCAGCCTGCAGAGTGGTTCTGCTGTTGCTGTTTTTCTGTCTGATAGTGAGATACTGGTTTGCTTTCTGTCAGTGGCAAGTGAGTATGCGAAGAAGAAAGCAAGCCAGCTTTCCCAAAAGCAGTAGTGACTCTTCAGAGAGGTCTCCGCTGGGGTTCAGTGCCCTGACTTTTGTCCTTCAGTTGCCATTCCTGCCTGTGGGCTTTTCCCTTGGGGGTGGATCCCCGTGTTCATGAGCCCATCRCTTTCCTTTCTGGTCTTGGTGGTGGTGGAGGCCTGTTCAGGAGGTGCTTCCAAGCAAGGCAACAGCAGATGCTGCTTTTCTTTTAGAGGGGAAAAAAAAGCTATTTCAACATGAATGTATAACCCTTTGAGTCTGATGCTGGGCARCTCATTTTGAGAAGCCAGTTTCACATAGGAAAGTAACTGATGTTCTTCAGGAAATGTMATTATAATGTTCATAAGTAATTAGTCTTTAAAATAGTCTAAATATAAGAATTTCCTGGGGGGGGAGGGAGAGGTGAGTAAATGCCAAGTTCTTCATTGAATTTTTTTTAGCCTGCTTTTTATAGGAAATTCAATCTTAGATGTATTAGACAGAAGCACCAAGATTACCGGTGGCACACAGTTATATAGGGTTGAAATAACATTGAAACATTGGAGAGACATCTGATGGAATAATTTTTAAATAGTCTTCAAAAATATATTTGGATGCACTTATTTCTGGGGCCTGGTCCAATCTGCAGGTTGATGACTGATTAGAATTTGAATGGGGAGCATTTCACAGCTTGTGCAGACCCAGTTCCAGCTCCTTCAAATAGAGGAATTTTGTTCTCCTCTCTTTCTGCAGGTTATGCTGCACTAATCCACTAGGTGGTAGGCATTAAACATCCCCTATATAAATGTACTGCAGTGAAATGTTAATAAGCTTTTAAAAGTATTTGAAGATGTGCTAAGATGCTACTAACTGTGTTAAGTGATGTGAGTTCTTTAGATTAACTATCATGATCCTCTGTGTGAGAAAGAAGACAAAATATTTCTGCCATGAAGGGAAGTGAAAATAAGCTTGAAACAAAAGTAATAAGAACCTTGGTTGCTGTTCTRTAGAGGAGGAGAGATGTGGTGCTGTCCTCCAGAGACAAGATTTTTTTTTGGAGGTTCGTGGAACAGGAGCTTGAGCTAATGCMTCTCTGGTTGAACTTATGCACTGCAAAGCTTATATTTTAAGGAAATATATTTATAATATGAAAAATGAGAAATCAAACTTAATTCAGGGCATTCTTAGTATGTTCTTGAGTGTACAGGTTGAAATTACCTTCCCTTATTCCATTTGCACATGGCTTCCCTTTCCTTACATTTTCTAGGACCTGAGGTATTTAAAGTCCAGCTGTTCAAAGAAGAATTTGAGGAAGTGTTGTGCATTTGCTCTTAAATAGTCTCCATAAATTTAGCACCAGCCTACTCCTCTTTACTTAAACATATTTATACATAACTCGTGTCATCTGGCTCCGATGTAAATTGCTGCTTTAAGCAGTATATTGCAGTGTCCAAGTGCTATTTGTTATAGTAACACTTGTTAAGAATTTAGTTGTATAATTTTATATAATAGCATTTTAATGATTTTCATGATCGCTGTTTACAACGATGTGCATTTAATGTGAATAAATTCTTATGCTTTTATTGGAGATGTTGCTCTGGGCCCCTAGTGCGTGATGTAGCTCGCTGCTTCACCTCAGCTGTATCCACGGTCCTTAGAGCTGCTGTGCTCTGGCCTGGGTTGTAGTGTGTGGCCGTCTGCTCTGTGTTGCTTTGAGAGGTGTAATTTGGTTGCTCTTAATGATTTCTTGGTGTTTGAAATATTTGAAAAACTCCTGACCTGTGACTTCAGTTGTTGTTCAACAGKGTTATTTTGGCTTCTGAGTCTGTAGGAGGTCTCCAAATTTGACTCTTAAGTGAGTGTTTGGTGTTTTTCTAGATGACTTAGCTGTTCCTTGGGAAGGTCTCATTAACTCAAATATTCTGGAATCCAAGGAAGAAGAAGTGAACGCTTGTCTCAGCAAAATGTCAACAGATTTTTCCCAGGGTCTCCCCAGTTGTTTTCTGGTAGGGGACAAGTGAAATGAAGTAATATGTCTTGGGATGGGTATCGAAAGCTGAAGGGTGACAGTGAGTGCAAAAACACATGTTGTCCGTTGCAACGCCGTTCTTTCAGGGAGAGCTTTAGCTTTTGAACTACAGATTGCCCCAAGTCTTAGTGTAGCACTGAGAACGTTTTCAGCGTGCCCTAACCAGACGCAAAGAAGGCTGCTCTCTTCCAGGGTGTCTCARTTGACTGATTGACTGATATATTCTCCTCTGCCTCCCACGTATGTCTTCGGTTCATCTACTGGACTATATTTTCCTTAAAAGTGATTTTGTTTGTCCTGGGCTTTTTGTCTCATTGCTGTTCACTTAGGCATAATACTTCGGTTTGCCTTTCAGTATGAGTCAAAAGGAGGCAAACCCTAAGCTTCATATATGTCCAGAATAGTAAACTTTTAGGCAGAAGCAGAAGTTTACAGACTGAAGAAAAAAAAAAGAAGGGGGAAAAAAAATCAGAGGGCCTTGGGAGTRTCAGACACATGGGCAACTGTTCCCAACTAGGAATGAGTCTGTGAGTCTATGATGGATCATAAAAGGTTTGTTTACAGACTCTTTACATGATATTGGTCCAGAAGTATTCCTGGGTTCACTTTTTCTGGAGCATAACTTGAAAATCCCGCCCCTAGGAAAGAGGACTCTAGAATAGAAATATTTTCTTATGAGTTGTTATGGTTGTTAGGTTATCTTTTCCTTCCTTGTTTTGAATGGAAAATGGTACTGTGGTATAAGATCCTCTCCTGCATYGTATTGACTGGTAGCTGTCAGGAGTTTGGAGGGGAAAGTTGTGTACACATTTGTTGGGTGTAGAGAGAGGTTTTGAACTAGAAATAATTTCATGGCAGCAAGTAATTTCTACGTTAAGTGTCCTGATTGATATACAGTGTGTTGTCTCACAATTCTCTGCAGACTTGCTGTTTTGTGCTTGCTTTACCTGCTGCGCAGGCGCTGTCCGTGTCGCTGGAGGTGGCGTACGGCCAGGCTCACGAAGCAGAGGGGGCCGAGCAGGTGTTTGAGCAATTCTTCAAGTGGCAGCGTGCTAAAACGGAGGAGTTTGTTCGTGTCCGAAATGATACAGATGCTGCTCTGCAGACTCTCACCGACTGGTTCAGTGGCATCGTAAAGGTAAGGAAGGGGCAAAGAGGTGAAGTTGGGTCCCGTGTCAAACCCTCTTCCTGCCCAGTTAGTGTTAACAGGGGCCCACAGCAGTGAGATTGTGCTTGGATAGAGTGGTACTGAGCAGTAGTGCCTCGATGCAGAGGGAATTGTATTGCTGATGGACCCCAGTCTTCATGTRTATTTGTTGTCTTTGTTTGCAATCCTGTCTGCTTGCTGACTTGAACCTTCAATTGTCATGCTGTTATCTGCYTATCTTCCACCTCCAACAAGTGTTTTGACCTGATGGCAGAAGAATCTTTGAATATTGAGGAAGTGGTCGGCAATGTGGATGAAGTTCTGAAAAAAGTTGAGCTGGATATTTGTAAAGAACTGGAGACTGACTTGGCTGTAAGTTCTGATCTTCCCTACTGACTTCCATGTATTTGATATGTCTTTGATTTCAGTTTAAAGCTTTTCTTAAAATAACAACTGAGTCTTTTGATTACAAAATAATGTTTATTGTTTTGTGCATGTATGATATAAAGTGATTGTTTGGATGGTTCCTCAGAAAGGGAGATCAGCTTCTGGTCATAGAAAAGTATCTCTGACTTAGCTAAGATCTGGTAGAGAAACTCTTCTCCGCTTTCATGCATAGAGCACATTGTGCTATTTTGAGTTTCAATGGATGTGTTAATTTACTTTGAATCATCTACATTTTTATCTTTACAATAATGGATTTGCATCTCTGAATAGTTACAAATATTTTTAGTTTTTCAGTCAGATGAATGGCTTTTCATCACCACCTTTTTGTTTCAAATGAATGTTCTTGCCTTAGTGGTATTTTTCTTTCCTAATGTTGGTCTTCCCTCTAATTGCTTACCTTTTCTGCAAAGCATTTCTTCCATTCTGTTCTGCTAATCCTGAGATACGTGCCTTGTCTACAGTGGTAGTCTCTGCTGTGCCAGGACAGTCACATCACCACGTATTGAATGSCCCCCCCTAATAACGTAGCTTTGTACTGACAGTAAACTTAGCCGGGGCTTGTGACTGCTGTCTGCAATGGAATTGATGGCTCTTGTTTAGAAGACAAGTAGCTTGCTTAATTTTTGTGTTTACTTAAACTTGCTGTCATTTATTGCACATGCTATGAAAGAAATTTGGAGCTTCTGTATGAAAGTGACAGTTCTATTCATCTGAAGCTGTTGGAAGCTTCTTTAAGACGTCGTAACTTTTTGTATCTGGCCTCTTCAAAAAGAGAGATAAAAATAGGATATGTGGGCTCTCCTATAAACATTTTGAATAATTCAGATAAAACWTTTTTTATTTTAAATGTTAGTGCTTATCAGTGGCAAGTGATTTCTAACCTTTAATTTTTCTCTTTGTAATTCAATCCAGGAGCATGATGAGGCAGATGAGAAAATAATTACAAGTGCTTACAATGAAGTTATACGTAAGATTCGTCAAGAGCAGCATCTAATCACTGTCATACAGAACAAATACTCGGACAGTGTTGAGGTTAGTTTGCACATTATTTACTTGCCAGATAGACCTCTGTTAGATCTTTCTAACCCAATTTTTTTGAAACATGCTTTTTTTTTTTTTTTCCTTTTTTTTTCCTCCCTTTTGGATACTAATATATTGGTGATGAGAGATTGAGGTAAAGCATACTTATGAGCTGTAATTGTTCATTACACAGGCAAAGCCTCATTCATTTAAAAATAAAAGGCACTTTTAAAAAACAAAGAATGGAAGTTAGAGTGTTCTGATTCTTTATGAATCACATTAGAAACAGTAGTTTGTAACTTAAGGAGATTAAGCCATATGTAGAGTGTTTTCTAGAGGTTGTTAAAATAAAAACCTGTTTTTGTGGAAACGACTGTGAAAAGCAGAATTCATGTAGGCTTCAGGCACTTTATCTAAAATATTGGACTAAAGAATATTTAAAAYGGTGTATTTGAACATTTTCTGATTTCTTCTTTTTCTTAGTTCAAAAAGCAGGCGGTGGAATGGCTGAATAAAAAACCGAATACTGACAACTTAATATCCATTAAGAAGACTCTGAAAAATTTAAAGGCCCAGTTAAGATGGAAGCTGGTTGAAAAGAGCAACTTTGAGGAAGTATGAAAATTTTGCAGATTTAAAAAAAAAAAAAAAAGAGAGGGGGGAAAAAAAAACTTAGAAACATTACCTCTGTATATTCCAAATAAGTGGTAACTACATGGAAAAGGTTTTCTTTAGTTCAAAGGTGTGTTCTTCTAAGCCCTGGCTGAGCAGGCATTTTGAAGTAGCTTGGCCTGAATTCACGTTCAATTACAAAAGTCTTTCAAGCTGCTGAGATTAAGCTTGAATGGTTTAAAATAAACACATAGCTGCTCTGTGAGGGTATAATATATAGCAACTTTCCCATTTCGATCCTAAGACAGCATTCTTTCAGCTCCTGTGTGGAGAGCTAAGTGTCTGTGGTTARGTGATACTGTGTGACAAGATGGATGAAATGCTTCCCAAATCCAGCTGCTGCTAAGGCTGAGCCAGTCTGGAAGAGCTGGGAGCTCCTGGCATCACCCTCGGGCTGCTCAGTGCYCCGAACCCTCTGGTCCCTGCTCTGCTGTATGCATAGATACTTACCCTAGTGCCTCTGTTGCACTGAGCAGTCCAGAGGGTGATGGTGTCACATTTAAGTCTTGCTTTGGTATTGCTAAAACCCATCTCGTCTCTTCTTTTTAAGTATGTGAGAGCAGGTACGTTGCATTTCTTCTRCCTATTGAACCTTCGTTACTGAAATTGTTCCTCTCATCCCCAACCACTTTCCCCAATAACAGCGTGTACCTCTTGGTGGCAAAATTCAACTTTAATTTTTGGAGTTCTCTTCCTCCCCCTCAGTTAAGAGATACAAGAGATTAGGGCCGCTTGCTTTAGTGATGGGGGAGTTCTAGATCTGTGGATAAATGATTCTGACAGTGCTGAGGAGAGACTCGGTGTGGGTGTGTGTGTGTACATGCTGTAAAGGGGCTGCAAGCTGCCAAAGGGATTTAAAATGCTAATGATGCCCTCGTGAAAGAGGATTTCTGGTAAGTGAGGTGACATGGAGCAAATACCCTCTTATGAGGGGGGGGGGAAAAAAACAGTTAATGGAGGCTGGCATTGCTGGTAGACAAGTGATGTTGCTGTTATGATTATATGTGATCACCTAGTTAAACAAACTCTCCTGACTTAAGAAACAAGTAGGCAGAGAGCTAGAACATTCAGTTTGTCACAAAGATAACCCAGGCAGCTTTTCCAGTACTTAGGTCTTATGAGATTCTTTTGGATTTCCAGGAAGAAGGCAGAGAAGAATACACATTTGAGAAAGCACTTAATTTTCATACTGTAGTTGCTTTTTAATCTTTACACAGTAGGTTATTTGATGTAATATCAGAGTGAGAATTGCATGCAGTAACTGTTATTCCTTATGCAGTCTGATGATTACAGTGAGCTTGAAATGACAAGAATAAAGGATAAAATTGCTGAACTGCGAAATAGTGTTCTTCAAGAAATATACAAGGAACAAGAAGAATATGTAAGTATTACATTATTTAAGCAGGTAAAACAAAGCTGTCTGAGACGCACCTGCATTTCTGTTACTTTGTATTCAAGTAGAAAAAACAGAGCTGACCAGCTTCCCTCCCTTATTCCAGGAGGGCAGACGATCTCCTTTGGAGTTTTTGCCCCCAGAGGACCATATTAATACTCAATACTATATGTATTACTTCAGTGTGTATTCTAGGAAAATAATCTTTTAAGACCCTACGAAGAAGGGTGGGAAAGGGGAAGCTGCAAATGTGACTTGTAGCTCTCAGCCCAGAGCTGCTGCAGACAGAGGTGACAGAGCAAGTGCAGTTGCTGAAGAAAGGCTGTACTTCTTGTAAGAAGAAAGGAAGCCTTTCTTTAGCACTAGGTAAGAACAGRGCTTTTCCTGAAAAGTGGAAAGAGGTCACGCTTTCTTGAAGTGGCCTAAGTTGGGGCAAGAATTTGACACTATTGCCTTGCAAGTAAATTGCAAGTCAGCAGGACACTTGATAGTGATATATCTGCTTTGTAGATGCAGTAGAGTGTGTGTGCACATCTGATGTTGTGCTCTGAGACACAGGTTGTGGAGTCTCCTTCTCTGGAGGTACTGAAAACCTGCTTGGATGTSATCCTGTGCCTTGTGCTCTAGGTGACCCTGTGTGTGCAGGAGAGTTGGACTAGATGGTCTCTAAAGGTTTCTTCCAACCTTAGTGATTCTATGATTCTGTGCAGTAATTGCTCCATTAAAGGCATGCAAGGTCAGAAGATCCTTGGATGTCTTTGTCTGTTATGACTTCATTTGTCTTCYTCCATTTACTCCTAGTGAGCTTGTGTTTTGTCCAGGCCTGCTAGAGCCTGCTGTGGAAAAGATGGAATACTTTCCTTGACAGCACACAAGCTCTTTAGGACCTTAGTTACCCATCCTTGAGGACTTTCAGGAATTTATCCACCTTGAGATGCTATGTTGGTCTGTGTGTTGTTGTTTTGTTTGTTTTTGGAAAGGAGATAGCAGTTGTATTGAGGGATGCTGCCAAAGAAGGTAAGAGTGCAGTCACGGTGGGGGTACTTCTGAATATTCTGGGTTAAYCTTGCAAATGGGTGATGTGTACAGGAGCACGTGTCAGAAGCCATGCCCTTTTCCTTCAGGAGAAGCTTACGTATTTGGTGCAGAAATGGTTCCCCGAGTTGCCACTTCTCTATCCAGAAGCAGGAATCCTGAAGTATATGGTAAGCAGTGATGGTCTGAGTGATTTCTGCACTCCCTGTCAATGTTTAGAGCACTATTAAGGCTCTGCAGCAACAACAGCTTGTGCAGTCTGTTTGCCATGTACGGTACTGGTTGTACTCTCCAATACCCTTTCCTCTCCGTCCCCCGCTCCCTGCTAGTGATGTTTAAGCAGCATGTTCCATTATATTTTCTATCTKGCCGTGGTGTTTGCTTACAGCCAGCCTCTTGTGACAGATGCTGTAACTTCATTTTTACCACGTCCAAGCTATTTCTGTGCTTTGAGCTTATTGAGGAAGAGAGGTAGCGAGAGTCTCTGAATCTCACAGCCGCTGAATGCAGCGTGTGCTGCTGTSTGTGCTTGTGCTTCAGAATTCTGGAGGGCTTCTGACACTTAGCTTGGAGCGAGACCTGTTAGACGTTGAACCCATGAAAGAACTGAGCACGAAGCGGCCCTTGGTGTGTACAGAAATTCAAGATCAGAAGGTGCTTTTGAAGGTAATGTTGTTACTGACTTCTGTAGGAGCGCTACCAGTGAGCCCTTATCAATAAAGTGATTCTGCCTGAACTTTGTGCTGGTCTTATTCCTGTGCTTAGCAGATGTTGTTTGACCAGCCCCTAGAGCACAAAGCCTTGCGTTTTCCTAGTTGGGTTCTATATTTTGTTCTGATTTTACTTTTTTTTTTCTCTCTCCTCCCTTGAGGACAGTACTTGTCTTCTTCTCCTTCTCTTGTCTTCTTTCAGGCTTTTGATGGGCCCTTTCTCCTGCTCATTACTCCTTTTCTTTTTGCAGATGCTGTTTTGTCTTCCTAATGATTTTACTGATTCTTTCCCCTTTCTGACTCTCTTTTTTTCCTGGTCTGCTAGCAACTGGGAGACCCAATGGATATAGTAATGTGAGAGGCATGGTTGTAAATTCCCTTGCTTTTTGCTTGGTTTATGTGCATCTCAGATTAGAGAAACTCTCCCTGTTTTGCTGGTCCAGACTTTCTAAGTTTTAATCAGGAGATATGGGAATAATCCATGACAGTTGAATTCAAAATTTGTAATAAGTACCAGAGAAGGTCATTTGATGGAAAATAATGATAGGCATTTCTGTGTCATATTGTAGGAGTTTTTATGAGTTGTAGCTTGAGTATTTGTTCTGTTTTTCAGGGATATTCTGTAGATACAAATTCAGAAACCAAAGTGATAGAAAGAGTTGCCAAATATCACAGAGCTTGGGGTCAGCAGAAGGAGAACTCGGGATTATTACAACTGATGTTTCTTCTTTTCTGCAAGGCAAGATTCAAATTGATGATCTTGGTTTCTCTTTTACATCGAAACACTTAACATTGGGCAATAAAGGTTTTTATTTGTTTTGAATCAGAAGAGCGTTTCCTTGCTGAGTTTACTTTGGATAATACAATAAATATACTTGATTTMTTGTACATCTAGTGCATGCTAAATTTTCTAATATTTCTGATATTTAAARCAATCTATTTTTAATATCTTTTTGTTGTTCTGTTGAAGTCTGATCCTCTGGTGTATTTAATGGTCCCATATTATCCAGGGGCAAGTCTGGAAGCRTTACAGTCTGATGCACCTTTAACATTAAAAGTAAGTATAACTGCTTAGMGTATCAGTACTTCTGTGTTTGAACCAAGCCTTTCTCACTTACCTGCTACTGCTTCACAATATTTCACCAGTGTAACCTCATCTGGTGGCCCACAGTCACTATACAAACTTTTGCAAGATAGATTACTTGAAGTTACAGCCTAAACGCGTGTAATATTTTAAAAGAGTTTTTGCTTGAATGTGTGGAATGTGTTTTTGGAAAGGGGGTGGGCATTCTTTTAGCTTCTCTATGTCCTTAATTTTTCCAGAGTTCTTTGAAGGCAATTTGGCAGCCATTTCTTTTCAAAGAAAAGGAGCCAGAAGCTCATGCAGCATCTTCTCTAGTTCTCTTTGCTGGGAGCAGGTTAAAAATGTKTGTCCTGAGGCGTGTGTTTTATTTTTTGAATGTTTGTTTCCCTCCATAATGGTTGTGATTTAAGCAGTAGCTGTATTTTTTCTCTTGATTGGTTCTGCCAGTCAGCAGAATCTTCCTGGGAATCTATGTGTCATGAAASAGTATTGGCAGGAACACTGAATATTGTAGATCCATGCTTTGCTTTGCCTTTTCTGTATCTATCTTAATAAACACCAAAAAAATTAACTCTCTAGGAAGCGCTAAGAGTGATGAAAGGAGTGGCCCAGGGTCTAAGCACGTTGCATGGAGCTGGTATAGTTCATGGATCTCTGCATGGAAATAATGTTTTTGCTGTGAATCGACAACAAGGGATTGTTGGAGACTTCGATTTCACAAAAACAGAGGTAAAACAAAACAAAACCCAACGCCCTTCAGTGACCTTTGATCAGAATTAAATATCAAACTMGACAAGTGCATTTGCAGCTTATAAGGCTTGCTGACAGGTGTGTGCCCAGCTGCTGCCTGTTCTAAACAGGGTTGGGCAATTTGAATTTTGTTGAAACTTTTGTAAAAACAACCTGATGTGGAGGGACAGGGATAGAATTTGAGCATAGGCACTAGTTAAGCAAAGGAACGAGCTGAAGTGTAGAAACGGGCTGTACTTGTGAGCCTGTCTTGTGTATTCGTGGTAGTCAGCATCATCATGAGCGTAAACACTCATGTTAGAAGAACCAGGAGTAGCCCAGCTCTCGTATGAAACATTGCCCTTCTATATGATTGATAATGGGGTCCCAATGAGTTTTCATCTGTTCCAATATTTTAAATTCACATTCCTCATTATCAGTATAAGCTGGCTTACATTCAGTCCCCAGATTCTCCAGCCAAGAATGACATGATTGTTTATGGAGAAAAATCCAATATTTAAGTGAGCAATTTTTTCTTRCTATTCATTGTGTTTAGGTAGTGAAGTGTGTAGAGAAGACAGCTCTCTTTGTAGTCACAGTACATCTTTTTTTTGAACTTGAACTCTTTGATCCAAAGCTTTTATGCTAGATACTTGCTTCATGCTTAATAAAGAAAACAGAACTGACTCAAATGTGCCACAAGTGTGGGGGAAACATTTTATCTAAAGGTGTATTTAKATATRWAWWTMSKAWWTWYATATAAATRYGTTTTAGACAGCCTTTATCTCCACTGTRGAGATGTCTTTTCTGTTAAATCTCWTGGAGAGCCTTCCAAGTTTGGACRTTTCATAGTTACCCTTTATGAAATCTCAAACATATTAGATATGTTTAGATATTAGATGCTACATCTAATATTTTAGATATTAGATTAGATATTAGATGCTCTAAAGACTTTGAGCAGAAATCTGTAGAAGCTGCAAATCCCCCGCAACAATCTGAGGCGTTTTTGCAACTTACGTTTTCTTGCACATTACGAGTGCTTAATAACCCTGATATGTAGGAAAAGTACCAGCCTAGTGTGCGTGGCTTTGCCTCCCTTCTCCTTTACGTGATGTTATTTCGTCAGTAAAGAGCGAATTTCCTATCAAAGTGGGGACCAGCACAGAAGGCTTTGGCAGTGTCCACTGACAGGCTCGAAGGGAAGAGGCGGAGGTGTCTGCTTCCCTGGCCTAACCCAACCCTTGGGCTGTCTCTCTCTTGCTCTCCCTGCTTCCCTGGCCTAACCCTGGGTCTGCCTCTGTGCTCCCCTGGCCTGACCTTACCCGGGGCTGCCTCTGTGCCCGCAGGAGCGCCGCGCCGCCGCGGGCGCCCTGGTCGCCGGCGCGCTCAGCCTGGTCTCGCCGGAGCTGCGGAGGGGGCAGCCGCCGTCTGCGGCCTCCGACATGTACGCGTTCGGCGGCCTGCTGCTCTGGGTGAGTCGTGCCGCGGTGCCGGCGAGCGGGAAGTGGGGCCCCTGCCCCTCGTGCCGTGCCGGGGCGAGCGGGAGATGGGGCCTGTGCCCCCCTGGGGCAGCAGGGCAACCGAGCGCCGTGGGGGCAGCCAGCCCGAGTTGAGCTGGGGGACAGAAGGTGCTGGGTATCTCTGTGGAAGATGCTGTGYGACTTAGTAATATGAACTAAAGTCATACTCTTTCTCCGTTGCTGTCTGCCAGTTCATATTTTTTACCTGTTGCCAGTAATACATCTCTTCCTAGTAATAGGAGTAGGTCGTAGTAGTAGTAGTAGCTTTGTCAGTGAGCAATTGCCATGTCAATCCTCCCTCTCTTGGTCTTATGGATGGGATTTATCGTACACTCTGCTGCAGACAGCAGTGCATAGTTGAGTATTTTGCTTATTAATATATGCTATGCCAGGGAGGAGAAAACAGTCCACTTGCTGTCTCAGGTGGTGTTTTCTCTTGTCCTTTCTGTCATCTGGCACTTCTGTATTGCTGCCTCCCTATCCCATGGTACCGGTGACCATTTATTCTGAATGGAAAACATCAGATCTCCGTGACTTGAAAGGCATGGGCTACCCAGCAAGTGCTGCTGCTTCCAGGCTATGACTTTGCATGAGCCCTTGCCCTGTTGGAAGGGYTTCAGTGGGCACCTATGGGAGCTCTAGGTGTGTACCTGGTCTCCAGGAATGGAGAGGCTGGCCAAGGTGAAAAGCCAGTTCCATCTGCTGCAGAGCGGGGGYTTTAGCCACCCCTTCGGCGCATCTTGGAATGATTTTTTGGTACAGAAATGCCACCAAGCTGGTAGGGAGCCACTGTCAGTTACTTGTGTGGAAAAGAGCAACCTTCATACAAAGCAGATTCATCATTATATTTTTTTCCAAATTTAGAAAGCTTTTTCTAAAAAAATTTACCCTACTATAGAATTGCTGAAGAGCCTACCTCTCTTCTGCAGTGGAATCTGTTCCATTTAAAACATGGAATCTCCTTGATTTAATGTTTATGCATTGATATTTAAAAAAAAAAAAAAAAAAAAAAAGGAAAAACTAATGTTATACATGAAGTATTTTTGTTCACTTACAGCTTTGTGCTCAAAACAAGGAGTTTGTCATAAAGGAAGATGGAACACCAGAGGTGGATGTTGTTGATACGGTATGTAAACTGGCTGCCAGATGAGGAAGATGATGTTCTTRCTTTAAAGCTATTTGTTACTTTTTTTTAATCAAACATTATTTTAAGTGCTGAGTTGAGCAGATGTTCTTAATGGAACATTTGGATGTCGTAAATAACWTTGTCCTAAATAGCAGAAATGAAATCCTGTTAGAGATGGCAGAAAACTGCAGTTTCTTTGCTTTTTTTCTCCTGAGATCTAAGTCAAATATTATTTTTGGATAACTGAATGGCGACAAGCTAGACATAGGGAATAAGTCATTGGTCTTTATAAACAAAGAGGGTATTTGATTTGGGAACCTGTGTCTTTGTAGTCGGAGAGGTTGACTTTGCATCTTCCAACATAATTATTAGACAATTCGTAACCATTAACAAAATAGCCAACTTCCATTTTAAACACTAAACTGCAATTGTAAAATTGTAAAATGAGGGCAAACAATTAATGACATACTAGTTCTTGGTGTTACTTATCTTTTCCTGTGCCTGTGATGCAAATTCAGAGACGTAAGTGGACCTGTTATGATGTGAATTTACGTTGCTGTGTTCATTTTCTCATCTTCGCTCTCAGCTGTTGTTCCCTCTACCCTTTGGCAGCTGTGCTGCCACCTGCAGCATCAACTCACAGCTCCTCTCTGAAATTTACCTTTGCCCAATGAATCCTTCGAGAATATGAAGGCACRCGGCTCTGCTCCTGTTTCCCAGCTTAGATGGTCGACATGGAAATTGACCCTTCACCAAGATATCTATCACTTGGGCATTTATCATAAGCAGGTGGTTTTATGGCCTTGCTTCTGTGTGCTCTTACGTTATTTCAACTTTTATACCAACGTACATAATTTAAAGTTTCTCTAGCAAGTTGATAGACCTTTCTCAAATCCACCAGTCTTCCTRGCCTAATTTCTACTTTGGACTCTTCCTGTTTGTGTTGTCTTCTAATTACTGGCTGTCTGCTTGGTTATTGCCCTGTGTCCTGCTCATCTCCCCTGAATGAGTCACTTAGTAGCAAATGAGTGGCCTCATTGACTTCTAATAAATGTGGCCTATTTCTTCACATCATGTTTTTTACTCTTAAGTTCTGTTGTTATCACTTTGGATAAAAGCAAGAGCTTACTGCTTTATGTAGTTTTGAGAAGGCTATCAGGCTTCTTAAATTCGAGCTTATACTGTAATTAAAAAAATGCAAGCAGGTGACTTACTAGCTTTTAAGTTCTTAAGTTTTAATTGTAGATAGAGCTTTCTAAGGAGATTTCTGGAAAATTGGGGAGTTTATGTGCAGAAGTACAAAAACTAAATTAAAATTCCTCTTTCGGTTGTTTTTGTGCATTAATGATGTGTCTGATGTGTACATTGATGATAGCATGGTGCTAGAATCTGTCTAGGTTTACTAGGGCTCATTTCTAATTCTAGTATATCTTGCTTAATATGAGTTAAATGAGTTAGGAAACTTGCATGCCATAGTACTAGATTAAAGCAGTACTTGTGCTATGCAGATGCTCAGGCCTGGGCACCAGAAGCCCAAGTGACAGATAACAGGGCGTAGGGGTCTTGTAGCCAGGGCTTTGGGGCCAGGGGTGCCTTTCTCATCGTCAGAACGGTGGTGAGATAAAGTTATTGAAGAACTGTAGAGGAGACAAGTCATCTAACAATGTGAAATCCTTATGATGTGATGCACTGGTGGAGGAATAATAAAAACGTTGCCTTTGAGCTGGGAGTCCATCTTGCTAAAAACTGCTGCTTCTTATTCTCAGTTGCTCAGGGTTGGGTTTTTTTTCTTTTTCTTTTTTTTTTTACTTAAAAACCAAATGAATCTCACAAAATGCGTAATGCAATAGGGAAGAAGAATCAGGGCTTTATAATCTACTATCAGAGCTAGTTTTAGTATTTAAAATACATTCCACGAACTTGTACAGACCCATCTTTCTGTGTCATTCAGGATTACGCATCGTAATTTTCAAATACTGAAAAACAAACTCTTAACTGATGAATAAGGAAGACTTACTTTTGGCTTAATTACTTGCATAAGGAAAACTTTTTTTTCCTTTTTAGGAAATGGCAGAGAATTTATTGAGACATTAAGGATAGGAACTGATTCCCTCCTCTCTTTCGGGAAGATATTTTTTGTAACACTGTCTTACAAGTACTGCCTGACACCTGTAAATCACTGCTGAAGTGGCCAGTTTCAACCCCTTGTGCTCTTGAGTTCTGCAGCAAGTGTCTTGAAGTGTGGACAGTTGCTTTTAACAAATAATAAAGTTGTTATTGTTAGCAGGGATCTATTTTTACAGCTTTTTAGTAAGAGAAAGTTTCTTGTATTATTTAGTAATGAAAGGAAACAACATTAGATCTTGACAGGCGATATAATCCTCGTGGATGCGCCCTTGTTGGCAGTTTTTAGGGATTTAGCCTGTGTGTGTGTGTGTGGTTGTGCTCCAACCACCAGACACCATTGGAAGTTTGCATGCTTACAATAATCCATGCTGCTCACAGGTCACGAGAACTCCCCAAAGAGGGTTTTACTAAGAAATGTAAGACTAATAAATATTTGTCAGGTGTTTCTTGGGGAATCTCTTAGACCTCTGGCTGTTAATCCTTGCCCCAGTTCTTAGGGAAAATCTATTTTGCTTTTAAGTGCTTTATCTATAATCAGCTTATTCAGAACTAATCTCCATGCCCATCTGCAGGCTCTTGAAAGGCTAGTAATTTCCTTTCTATCTCGGCCTCATTCCCGAGAGGAATTGCACACTTTCAATTTGGGTTGTTTTCTGAAAATACAAAGTTGCAGGAAAAACCACAAGTGTTACAAGAGGTTATTAGTAACTTTCCAAGTTGGCTTTTGAGGAGCAAGAGCTGGGATCTTGTAGTCACTCTTTCAGTCATCTCAGCATCCAGTGAACTTCACCTTTCATCTTTTCCATTTAAAAAAGGCAGGAGCAGAGAGGACAAACGAGTTGGAGTGAATAGTGAGATGTTGTCCTGCAGCAGTGCTACTTGGAGCATCATTTTTTTTTCCAGTTTCCTTGATGGTAGATGATGGTGAGAAGGGGACGTTTGTTAGCAGACATCTGACAGTATTGCARAATGCCAGTTTGTAAGTGCGGAGGTTTTAACTTTAAAAGCTCAGACTTGATTAGTTTTTAATACCATAGAGGAAGTATGTAGTCATATAGTTCACTTCTTTACATTTCAGTGTATAAATATTGAAGACTCTTACCTAAAAGTTTTCCTTTGAGCTTTTAAGAAGTTTTGTAAACACTTCAATCCTTTACATCTGTAAGATAAACTGTTTTCAGATCTTATCTTTCCCCTAAGATTCAGGTTATTTGGGAAGAGGTTAATTTTCCTGCGTCGTTCTACTTATCAGTTGAAAAGCTGGGAATTACCTGTGTATTTTTATCTCCAGGTTTTTGAGTTCTTTTGTATGTTTACGAGCGACTGAATCTCAGTGAGCGAAGAGGTTGGTCAGACTCCGGGTGAAGCAAGAGCAGGCAGGGGGTGTGCAGGGCTCTGTGACTTGCTGGGGTAGGTGCCTYGGAGACTGCCAGAGGCAGGCCGCCTTATGGGGAGGTGGTAAGGTGCTTAAAATTTGAGCTGTGGTCTTCTAGGTGAGCGTTTGAAGRGTGTCTGTCTTGTAGTCCTGTCCAAATGAGTGTGAGATCTCTCTTCTTCTGCACTAACGCTCATGCAGATGTGTTGCAGCTCTCTTATGTTTGGGGTCTGGTGCTGTTGAGGTGCTAAGCATTTAGACATATATCCCTTCTGAAAAGACTAAGGAATCTAGCTATAAAGAATAGACTAATGACAAAAGAGCTGCTGTTGATTTACAGCCAAATAGCTCAGTTTATTTTCCAGTATTGGTAGAGAGAGAGGCATGACTAAAGTAAAAAGTCTGTTGTAGAAAATAAATGGAAGCTGTTGTGTTCCTTCTCAGTAGAAAGAATAACTTCAATGCTTCTCTAATTTACTGTAGTTCAGGGAATTGATGTCTTCAAACATCGCACATACCTTTCTGTGAAATSCGTGGACTCCAGGTTGACAGTGCTGACAGCTTGCTCCTGTTTTACCAGCCATAGGTCTATTAAGTGTGCTGACCATGGGGAATGTGTGGTACAACCTTTTGTGATAGCTTTGGGCCCCGAGCACTTAAAAGCAGCAGTCATCAACTACTCGATATTTGCCATCATGTTCATTTCCCTTGTTGATGAGATTCTTCTTCCTTTTCTAGGATGATAAAGTTAAATCCCTTCTCCTGAATCTGCTGTGCTGTGACAGACTGACAGCTGAGCAGGTCCTGAAGGACGATTGCTTCCTCTCCATGGATGTGTTTCCCGTTTCACCACAGCCGAGTGAAGAACCTGAGCCGYGTGAAGAGCACGAGTCTGAAAAAGTGGATAAACAGGAAGAGGGTGCAAATAACTGAGGAAAGTGGGGCGAATCCTACTGAGTAGATGAAGAGCATGTTCAACGGGTGTTCAAGACTTTTGTTTGTTTCTAGCTATTTTCAAAACTAACTGTCATAATCTCACATCTCCAAATATAAAAATGTTTGATAAGTATAGTCATGCTTTGTGATTACACAGTGTTCACTGAGTTTTATTTTAAATATGTTTARTTCTAAATAAATGTTCAAGGCTATAACCTGTTGTGTTCATTCTCACCAGAAAAATTAACTTCAGTATTTCTTTAATTTGTTATATTGTTCATGATTTTGTTCTTAGTTTGTCAGATTTTCTTTGTTCATTCTGTAGACATTAATTTGCAGAGAGTCTTGTTAGATTTGGAAGGCCTTAGGATGAAGGCTTTGTGACTTGTTTTTGTATCTAATTTTCTATCCCTCTTGCTGTGATTTCAGATTAACTGTTCCCATTAAAAATAGTAGGATATTACTGTTTTGTTGGAATCTTTCTTGCATAGCCAGGGCATTCCTACAGCAAGTACCTTCAAGCCAATGTGTATGTGTGTATTATCTCTYCTTAAACCTTGCTTCTGCTAGCTTTAAAGTTTTGTTTTTGATGACTGGGTTTGTCTGAAACACTTGGCCACACTGACATTGGAAGGGCTTTCCAGYTGTTTTCTTTTCCAGGGCTTGCTGCTCATCCTCTTGGAGATTTTTCTTTCTTCAAAAGAAGCGGATCTGAGTGTGAARTTTCTGTAGGGATATATTTGGCCTCTGGGTGTTGCTCTTGGACAGTACAGTTGACACGCTAGTGTTTTACAGGGGAGTTATTGAAGTTGAATAGTGTCAGATGAAGCATATTAATTAAAAAAATAGTACACACAAAAAAAACCTGTTGTAATGGCGGGGGGAGGAACAGTGGGAAATTAGGAAATCCTCAGGTATAGCGCTATAGCCTATGGTGAAAAGATGCCATCTTGACAGTCCTATCTCTGACATCTCATTTTTTTCTTAAATCACTTTCTGGCTTTGTTTTGCTTAACATTTGAAGGAAGCTTCTTTCTTTGGTCATTCTTCATTTCAGTGATTATGACTTTCTAGTTTTTGTATGATACAGGCCAAAACCTTTGTTAAAAATTAAAAATAGTTTTGACTTAATGACTTTTTGGTCAATTCGATTTAAATGTATTATTACAGAAATCACAGAAGAATGATGCTCTGCTTCTTTTTGCAAATGAAAATAAATGGTTTGAAGCAATTCTGCTGTATTCTTTCCMAGTACTAAGATCAGCTTGTGCTGCTAATAGAACCTAACTTCTTATACTACTAAATAGTAAGCAAGAAGTAGAGAGAACTAAGCTCCGTTTGTTTCATGGTGTTTATTAGAATAAACTTCTGCTGAGTTCCCTTGCTAACTCATTGTATGCAACTCAAAGCATACTTACCTGCCCAACTTGCTGCCTTGGATTTCTGAACCAAGGAAAATCTGTGTTTGTGCTTGATCTTGCATGTGAAAAAACCCAACAGMTTATGTACAGGTGATGAAGAGATTTGGACAAGATTGCATTTTTCAAATCAAACTTCTTCATTTTTCAAAGCAAACTTCTGCATTAAAAAAAGTGCAAATCAAAAATCTGCCTTAAAGCCTTTGAAACCTTTGTACATGCGATGTCAGGATCCGGAACAACCTTTCACACTTGTTCATGCTGTTTGCGATGTGCAATTTGCAATGTCATCTGCTTGCTTCTGCTTTGGCTCTTCCTAGGCTCMTTTTGTACCTCTGTTTTTCTTTCCATTTGTTTGCTTGCTGCCTGAAGAGGTTGCTTGAGSATGAAGCTGCCCAGCTGTCCTGGCAAAACCCAGTAGCAATCTTTCATACCAGACTGCTTGCTGGCTAGTTTCAGATAACCTTTCTAACTGCATCTTTTTGGTCTGGAACAAGCAGACTTGAACGATGGAGAGAAGAGGTGCAATGATGCCGTGGGAATGTTAACTTCCTCACTTGCTTCCACAACGAAGAAGCCTGAGCCAATCTTACCTCCGCTCTCGGGTGTCACGATGGTGCAGTCTTGAGCAATGTCCTTGCACAGGTCTCTCTGGATGCTGCTTTACTTGGGAAGCAGGAGTTCAGCTCCTTTTGCATGCCCTCCCCCCAATGCTGGTAGCTTCTCCCGCCCCCCGAGGATAAGGCTGCAGTTCCAGGTCTTGATGCTGATGATCTCTTCCTTTCAGGTGGGCTAACCCTTGTCACTTGGTCAGTATTGTGTGTGCTCTGGCCTTCATCCCTCCCATCTCGGCCTCTGCACAGTGCGTAATAGCCACGTCAGCTGCCTCAGTCATCTTAGGGCTGTAGACCTGGTACAGTCAGGTAAGAGGAAGCCCTGTCTGCAGCCCCCCAGCTCTGGCTTTGAGCCTAGCCAGCTYGCCTATGCTAGGACTCTTCCTTGGAGGAGGGCCTTTTTTTCCCTGCAGTTTTGCTGTCTGTGCCACATGCTGCCCGTGGTACCGGTGAAGCTGTGAAGCCTGTACTGCTTTCTAAATGCTGCACATCTGTTCTCTTCTTGAAAGCTGCCTGTTCTGTTTGCTGCCTTTSACCTCTGCGGTCAGCCTAGGATCCATACTAATTTTCTAACCTCTTTCCATGTGGTTTGTTGCTCGCTGCACAGAATTTAGCACTTTTGCCCTGGTGGTTTTGAGAAGGTTCTTAATTTTATGCCAGTGTCAAGGCTGCCTTATCAGCAGTTATTGGTGACTGTGAGTTGAATTTTAGTCTTTTATAGGCGACTGCTGCAAGGACTTCCTTAGCTGGAGCGAGGCTTGATCTGTATTCACTTTCTCTCTCCAACATGCAGAGAACTAGCACAAATTCGTCATGGTGCCAAATCGTAGCATCAGTGACTTTCTAGACAAGGGTGGGTATTTGAGAGCAACACTTTATATGATCTAAGCCACTGGTGAGACTTCTCCTCAGGGCGCATGCTGGCGCATGAAGATTACACATCATGGTTTGCTGTGCCTGCAGCGCTTGGACTGTGGGTTTTGCAGCAAATGTATCACAGCTGTGGACAAAATACAGCAAGTGCTCCTGTCCTTTAGGCTTGGGGGCAGAGCTGCTCCTACCAGGCAGCTCTGCTGGCGCCTGCCTGCTCGGSCACTGGGCACCTTGGGACCTTCATTTTCTTCAGGTCTTGGGCTGATTTTGTGGCAGCTTGAAGATTCTCATGCTGCAGTGCATCAGCATCACACTGTGCAGAAGCTTATTTGAAACTAAAACCCATCTGATTTGGAGTACAATTCTTGTTTTTCATGTTCCTCCTCCTTTTGTCCAGCAGCTGTGTGCTCAGCGCTGCAGGGCGAGCTGCCGCGGGGTGGGGAGAGAGGCCGGACGGGCGCTGCTGCGGCGAGAAGCGCTGCGCACCCGAGAGCCCCCTGCACTGCTCCGCACCAGCGCCAGCGGCGCTGGGCAAAACTCCTCCACGTGCCTCCCCGGTTTGTGAAGCTCTCCAGCTCTCCTGCGCTCCTTTGTGATCAACAGTAGAGTCAAGCAGACTGGTTTGTTGTCTCACCCTGGCCGCCTGAGTGCCAGCCCCATGTTTTTGGTGTTCCGTGAGCAGGGTATTCTGAGCTGAATCTCAGTGGATGTAGCAGCTCTCTGGCTTATTTTTCAACTCAATGGCTTGATGTTTCTGCAAAGCTAAGGTGTCCGCCACTTGGCATCGGTATGCTAGATCCTGATAGATGGACAGCTCTAGAAGGAGTCTTTATTTGAAGTGTAAGGCAGTGCATACAAGTCTTGGGTCTGTGAGATTATTCCCCCAGATGACTCAACAGCAGTTTTTTGGGGATTTTTTTTTCTTTACACACTGTGACTTTGATCTATCTGTTTTCCCAGTTATCTAGTGTGTCTGTTCAAAGTTCACACTTTGGCCATTCAGACAGTACAGAGTTACATGTGCTATATGTATATATGAGTGTTAGAGACTACTTATATCTTCTTCGTTGCTTAATGAATCCTCCACACATTTCTGCAACCTCTGTTTCTATCTACCTTATTGAGAACTTTTCTTCTGCACCTCATCCTCATTCTGGTAATGTGGGGTTTTTTTTTGTTAACCTGTGGTGGCATCACCAGAGCTTGATGGATCTCTGAAATGCAAATGGTCTTAGTGCTGTTGCCTTGTGTACCCTCCAGTGGCCTGAGTTAGGTTATATGGCCAAAAAGAAGTCAGGAGTGGGCTAGACAGGTGGAAAACTGTTGAAGGAGAATGAAAACATTAAAATCTGCTAGATGAAGGTCTCTTAGGTGCCTCAAGGTTCTTGGTGGATTTTACTGGTGGAAGGATTTCAGGTTGCTGTTAGCACACTTCATATTTTTATGCTGCTCACATGAGCCACTGGAAATTTTAGAGCACCCAAATACTGTGGTAGTCAAAAGATTGAACAGATGTATAAGAAGCCATATGCTGTATAAGTGTGTATGTAGGCAGCACAACTCAAAGGATTTCTTACTGTGCAGGTAAGTAGTTGGTTTTGTTTACATAATTGGTTCAGTTTCTCTCCAGGAGAGAAACCAGGAGAGTTTTGCTAGAACAAATCGATTGAAGTTGCTTCGTTCCAGTTAGCCTGATGAAAGCTCAATGAATATTCAAAAGCCAAAACCTGCCAGAGTCGATATCAGGAGATACCTGGGGAGCCTGCTAGAACGGCAAGTGCCGTAATTTGAAGACTGCCCCACCCCTAATTTGTGACTTAGTTTGAAGTCAGAGCGCGCTGTTAGAAAATGCAGATCTGTTCCATGGCAAATCTTATTCCTTCTACTTTAAAGATTTTTGGCCGCCGTTGAGCTCTTCTGAATATTCATGTTATGGGTGTGCATTTGTCATAAACTCATGGGTCATACCTGAAATCAGCCTGAAATCTTTTCCTCTGTCCTTAGCAGCTAGAGGTGGAGCTGGTGTTCACCTATTCTTCAGGCTGCCAACATCCCTCTCTAAAGTCTCCTGTTCCCCTTTCCCCTTTTTTTTTACTTAGATTTAACCTTTTGGTTGTCAGAGTGTCCAGTGTTTTGGCAACCTAGTTTCTGTAGCACTTTGTTTTGATGAAAAAGATTGTTTCTTGTACCTGCATGTTGAATTTTGTGGATAAATTTCAAGTTATGCCTCTCCTAGCTCTCTCTTTTTTAACACGGGTTGTGAGATTCTTCTGAAGATGTGATCCCGGACTGAGAAGCTGAAGGTTATTAGAGCAAATGAGACCTTCCTTCCACTTGACAACTAAAATAAAAGCTATGAGATTTCCTGCCCTGCATGACTCTGATAGCAAGATCTCAATGGTCTCATGGTAAGATCCCATCTTGCTGTCTGTGGGGCAATTGTCTCCCCTCTGTGCTGAAGATCTGCTTACTTACATTGGGCAATACTGGGGCTCCTGTAACCCAGTGTGCTCCTCTTCATGGCAAGCCTACTCCTCCTATCCCTGGGATGCTCATAGGAACTGCACTACTTCAGCTGGCACAGATACGTTTGGGTTTCCTTAAAATAAGTCCTACCTATGATAGATGTTTCTTGATAGCAATAACTTCTACCAGGAAAGTGGGGGAGAGCCAAGCCTCTGACGGACGCTTCCCATAGATCATCTTTTTCTCTGGGTAGTATCACACAGAACTTAGTCCCATTTTYCCACTAGCATCATCTACAAACCTCTCCCCTGGAAAGGACATGCACATTTGTTATTTTCCTCACAGTCGCATTCTCCTCCTTTGGATCCCGGAGAGCATTCAAGAACAGAGAAGTGTTTGGACAGGCTCTGACATTTGTACCTATTTATGCTTAGTGCTCTAGGAGCAGAAGAAAACG